GGTCAAATCCTGCAAGGGGGTGCCGGTGACCGAGGCGGAGTGCACGGCCATGGGGCTGCGCAGCGGCCACCTGCGGGACAGGTACGCGCCAGCGGGGGCGCAGAGCCAGCGCTAACCCGGCTGGGGATGCGCGGGGAGGGGGACAGAAAAGGTCTACGGGGTAGGCGAACGGGTCCTTCTTACAAGAAACGGGTGGCTTGGGCGCTGAAAAAGAGAAAAAGCGAAAAAGCCCCTCGAGGGCAGGCTACCCGGGCCCAGGCTCTGAGCTTCTGCGTCCTGACCGGTTTTCCGAGTCCCGCATATTTTTACCTCTCACTGGCTCTCTACTTGCCCTTCCGACGGAGGGCGGCCTCAGTCCCCAGGTGTCTATCAGCAAACTTTTTCATCTCCACCAGCGGAGGTGATGACCTGCAGGAGACTGGACTCCGTCGCTTTGTTTTTAGTGACCATTTCTGAGCTTTGGGGGAAAAGTTTGGAGAGGTAGAGTCCAACTCACAAAGAGCGCACCAAGGCGGAGCACGTAATAACGACAGCAGTTGACCCCCTTCCAGTTTAAGAAGCGCGATTGAACAGGTTCTGTCCCTAATTCTCCCGAGCACTTTTCTGTAGACAAATACATTGACTGAGGCTCCTGCGGAGCCACACACTGGGACTTTGTAAATAGTGACTTCCTTCACGTCCTGTCTGGGTAGCGAGCGCTGTGTGGATTCCCGGGATCAGTGAGGGTTGCAAAACCGCAGGGCTAGCGCCTCTCTGAGCCTGGCCTCAGGCAGCTCTTGGCCTTACTGTGAGGCCGCACTTAAAGTTCCCAGAGCAGCCCTGGGCTTCAGCGAACCACGTAGGACTGGTGGGAGCCTTTCACCACCAGCTCCCAAGACAGAGTGCAATCGACTACAAAATTGGAAGCGAGCTATGTCACTTTGTTTCAGGAAAGAAGCCAAGACTCCTAAATATCCCATAGTTTGTGCTGTGGACTCTGAAAGGTGGTAGAACTTATTGAATTTGTTTTTGTAGGGTCCAGAGGCAAAAGGCATTGTAATTTTCCTGTAAGATCGATTTTAAAAATTACTGAGGTCTGGAACCAGCGGGTGGCATGGTGGTTAAGGTGCTGGACACTCCCACATGGCCCACCACGGTTTGAATCTCAGACCTGGTGGCTTGCTTTCTCACTTTCCCTCTCTCTCTCTGTCTCTCTCTGTGTCTCTGTCTGGTCAAATTAAAATAAATAAATAAATAATTCTTTTTAAAAAATTACTGAGTTCATGTTATAACAGATGACAGCAGGAGCTGGCATTTCTGTGAGACACTATGGTAAATTTTTAATTTTTGTCATTACACCCTCCCAGAAGGTGCAATTAAGAGTAATGAACAAAGGCTTACAATTCTAGGTGACCACTGACTCAGTGGAGGTTGTGACAAGGGCCAGGGGTACAGAGAGGAAGGGACACTGGAAGCTGTCTGGGTGATCAGGGAGACTTCACAGAGTAACTAACAGCTTGAGCTGAAAAGTAGAAAATGATCATGAACTTCCCAGGCAAGTGAGTTTGGAGAAGAACTTTCTAGAGAGGGGGAGTAAATTGGGCAAAGACACTGGACTTGAGAACATGGTCTGCTGGTGGGAAGTCTAACATACTCAGAGGGATTTACCCAAAGAAACAGAAAGCAGAATTGAATGTGATGAATGTTCTTTGCGGCATTCTTAACAATAGCCAGAAGATGGAAAAAAAAAAAAAAACCAAACCCGAAGTATCCATTGATAAAAGAATGGATAAACAAAATGTGGTATATCCATGCAATGGAATGTTATTCATCCATAAAAAGGAATGAAGTACTATACATGCTACAGATGAACCCACCTTGCAAACATAGCACTAATCAAAATACGCCAGAAACAAAAGGAGCCAGAGTGCCCTGTTCCAAACATATGCAATATCTAGAATAGACAAATTCAAAGGGGCAGAAAGTGAATTAGAGATGACCAGGGCCTGGGGCTGCGGCTGTGAGAAAACAAGGGGTTATTGCTTAATGAGTACAGAGTTTCTGTTTGGGATGATGCCAAGGTTTTGAAACAAGGCAGTGGTGAGGGTGCCAAACATTGGGGATGGCCTTAGTGTCACTGAATCCTGTATTTCAAATAGTTAAAGTGGTTAAAATCCATTTTTAAAATCCCGTGTTATAACTTGGGTTGTTTCTGCCTGTTGGCCTTGTGACTTTTGCTACAATAGACATGGATGAACAAGTATCTGATTGATTTTCTATTTTTAATCTTTTAAAAATAAATCCATCCTTTTTCATTTAAGTTTTATTTATTTATTTAATGAGTGACAGAGACAGAGAGACAGTACTCCCAGCAGAGGTTTTTGTATAGGGCGTGTGCGCTCCCCAGAGAGACAGAGAGATCTTGGGCACGCATGCACACGTGTCCGGTGTGAATTTAAGCCACTGAGTCCAGAACTCAAACCGTGGTTGACTACATGGGAGTCCAGCGACATGGCCATTACGCTAACTGCTGGTCCCCCCAGCAGGATCTTAACACTAAGATCCCCTCAGTCTGAGCCAGCCCTGGATCATGGGCACACGTGGGCTTGATGTACACAGGGAACATAGAGAAGAACCTCCTTGCCAAGTGTGCGTTTTACCGCTGTACCATCAGTCCGACTCCTGTTTCCAATTCTTTAGAGTCTACACCTTTGAGTATGCCAGGTGTTTTATACTATGTACATTTACCACGATTTAAAAATATATACATAGGGGTAGCAGGTCGTGTAGAGTTAAGGTGCTGGGTCCCACATGGCCGACTATGAAGTTTGAGTTCTGGACCCAGTGGCTTGAAAATCATGCCAGGCATGTGTGCATGTATGGCCAAAATCCTAAGAGGAGAAAGGATTGCATTGTGGCCATCACCCCGAGGGGGTGATTTCTCACTTTCCCCCTCTCTCCTTATCTGTCTCTGGTGAGCACACACGCCGTATAGGAAAACTAGTGTGTGTGTGTGTGTGTGTGTGTGTGTGTATTTTTTCACTGAGGTGAAGGCATGGAGAGGTAAGACTGTTGGGGAAAGCAGACTAGATTATGAGAGGCCTGACATCCTTTGCTTAAGGGTTAGAGTTTTATCCCCAAAGCAGGAGTCATGGAGGGATCCTGAATGTGGGGGCTACAAGATCGGATTTGCATTTTAGAAAGATCAGGCTGACTTTATTACCAGGAAGAGTTACTAGAAAGAATACTCACATGCTGGTACCGCGGGTTTGGAGGAAGGCAGGGCTCTATCTCTGTGCCAGATGAAGAGCTGGTGAGAGGGTAGTTAGGGAAACAGCTCTCACTAACCATACTTTTCTAGTGTAGCTGAACAACTCAACCATGATGACTTTCTGGAAGTGCTGCAAGAAAGACCTTTAATGGGGACCAGCAGTTAGCGTAATGGCTCTGTCGATCGACTCCCATGTAGCCGACCACCGTTCACGTCCTGGCCCCGGTGGCTTAAAACTCACGATGGGTGTGTGTGCGTGCGTGCCCAAGATCCTGAGAGGAGACTGGAGGAGAAGGGATTGCAGTGTGGCCATCCCCCCTGGGTGGTGATTTCTCGCTTTCTATCTCTCTGTCTCTCTCTGTCTTTATGGTGAGCGCATGCACCCTGTAGCTAAAACCTCTCCAATAAATAAATAAATAAGTAAATAAATAAATAAATAAATAAATAAAACATTTTTTCTCATTACCAGAGAACATGTGTCCTCACAAGAGAGAGACAGAGAACTCTCCATGGGGCATGGTTACACTGCAATTCCCTTTCCTCCACTGCTCCACCCTGTCAGGATTTGGGGCATGCACATACTCCCTGTGTGGTTTTCAAGCCACCAGTGTCAGGATTCAAACTTCATTTGGCCAGGTGGGGTCCAGCTCCCAATGCACAGGGCTGAACCACTGTGCAAAAAGGAAAGCCCAAAACATAAGCATTGTTTAAAAGGTGGAGAGGGAGTGATATTGGCAAGGTGTAAGTGGCACTAAATGATGCTCAGCAGAGTTGCATGCTCTGTGAGCTGTACTAGAAATAGTCTTGCGAGGGGACCAGCAGGTGGCATGGTGGTTAAGGTGCTGGACACTCCCACATGGCCGACCATGGTTCGAGTCCTGGACCTGGTGGCTTCCTTTCTCCCTTTCCCTCTCTCTCTCTCTCTCTGTGTGTGTTTCTCTCTGGTCAAACTAAAATAAATGAATGAATAAATAAAATAAAATAAAATAAAAAAAGAAATAGTCTTGCGATTTCTGTCAACCAGAGCCTGTCGCCTACTGGGTGCCCATGGCTGTGCTTCCTTGTGCCCCTAAATCTGCCTCTGAAATAGTTTCCTGTCAATTCCTTGGGGCCCGTTTAATTACTGTGAGCAGGTTTTCTGGCCATTGAGATGAGAATATAATTAACATCTTTGATTTCTCTGCCGTCAAGGAGCTCAAAATGTTCTTCAGATTTTATGTGTCAGATGCTTGAGTGGTTATGAAGTGTTTGAAACAAGCTGAGATTCAGGTTTGCGTACTGCTGTGTTGATGTTTAGGACAGACAGACACACAAACCAGGCTTACAGGGAAGAAACTGAGGGTGCCTGTGTATCACCGAAGGCCTTAAAATACTGGGGCTGCTGGTCATGGTGGTCCACACCTGTCCTGTGTTTTGAAAATGGCAGGTTTTGGCTTGTGATCGACGCGAAGGGGACTATGGTTACTGCTCGACAGGAACCTCGCCTGGTCCTGATTTCGCTGACCTGTGACGGCGATTTCCTGATGCTCAGTGCGGCCTACACGAAGGACCTACTGCTGCCCATCAAGACGCCCACTACAAACCCAGTGCTCAAGTGCAGGTAAGGAAAGCGCAGCTCACTTATTCACACGATTTTTAAAGGCCATGTGTTTCTCTCTTCCTTGAGTGAGAAAGAGAGAGAGAGAAAGAGAGAGAGAGAGAGAAATAGGTGCTCCCCACAGGGTCCTCATGCCAAGATCCACTACCAAGTCACAGCCAGCCCTCGGCATATGGTCAGGGGGTTCTTTGGCCAGGAGCCCAGAACCTTCCCGCAGGATCAGCCTCCCATGCATGGTGTGAGGTAGTACTGCTGCATGGCTGTCTCCAATTTATGGAAGTTGGAGAAAGTATGATGGAGGGAATCTGGAGAAGCATTGTCAATAATGAACCAATGACTGCAAATGTGCCATATGTTGTACCACGTCTTTAGCATCAGGAGGATCTAAAAGTAGGAGAAATGGGAGCCTGTAGGTAGCATAGTGGTTAAGGCACTGGACTCCCACGTAGTCGACTGCAGTTTGAGTCCTGGACCTGGTGGCTTGAAACTAATGCTGGATATGTGTGCATACTTGCCCAAAATCCTGAGAGAAGACTGGAGGAGAGGGGATTGCATTGTGGCTATCCCCTCCCCACCACCAGGAATGATTTCTCACTTTCTGTGTCTCTGTGTCTCTGTGTCTCTCTGGTGAGTGCACATGCCCTATAGCAAAAATCTTTCAAAATAAATTAATAAAATAAAAAAAAGAAGAAACAAGGAAGCAGCTTCAGAAACTTGTGCAGGAGGAATGACATGAAAGTTCTAACTAGAAACGCATGGGAGCAAAAGCATATTGACTCATCAACAAGAGAAAAATATGATCAAGGAAGGGTCAAGGACAAAAAGGGCAGGGGAGTGCTGGGGACAGAGATTTGCAAGAGGTGAGATCAGGTCTAATTGTATGCGTGACCACAGGTCTTTCCTCACTTTGCTTGGAAAACTGGCTGCCTTGCACATGAGAGCCAGGAAAGGAGTTGCAAGTGGCTATGTCACCCAGGAAATTTAGTTGAAATGAAAGGAAGTTCTAAAATAGGAAAGAACAGCTGCAACCAGAAGAGTGATGTGGCCTGTAGCTGTCCTGTGCTTGGTGTCAGAGGGAGGGCAGAGATTCAGCCCAGGGGGTGTTCTGAACAGAAGCCCTTCCTCACCAACAGCAGGCCTGCAAGGAGGTGGGTATTCTAGGAAGACAAGCTGTGCCTGTTAGAAATCATCTTGGGTTGTTTTCTCATCCCACTATGGAAAAGTCGAACTGTGTTCCAATTAGACTCTTGTTAGGTGTCTGCATTTTGAACTAAAATGCAATGTGCATGCTAAATGAAGTTTGTAGGTTGGCATAGAAAATAGCACATCAGAAAAAAAAAAAAAGTAGTTTGTTGGGCCAGCAGGTGGCATGGTAGTTAAGGCGCTGGATCCCACACAGCTGATGGTTTGGTTCGAGTTCTGGACTCAGCAGCTTGAAAAACACACCAGGTACGTTTGCAGGCATGACCAAAAGTCGTGAGAGGAGAAGAAATTGCGGCATGGCCGTGCCCTGCTCCCTCCTCGGCAGGTGATTTATCACTTTCCCTTCTCTCTTTCTGTTTGGCAACTTCATATGCCTTAGAGCCCAAAACTAATTGTGTGTGTGTGTGTGTGTACACATATACAGCTTGCTGAAAAATGTCTTTTAAGACTCTGAAAAGTCCACAAACGACTCCTTCCACTAATGGCAGAGAATTAAGGCATTTATATGGATTGTTCAGGCAAACTTCAAATCATTTCTATATTATCTTGGTCAAAGGGTTTAATAGCATTTACTTTGTGTGTGTGTGTGTGTGTGTGTGTGTGTGTGTGTGTGTGTGTGTTAGACTTTCTAGCTAGAAACTGCCTATGCATTCTCTGGTCCTGGGATCTGTTTGTTCTGTGTTAAAAGAGGTGATTATCAAGTGTGGGTAAAAGTCAGACTGATATCCCTAAACTGAAGCGTTACTTCCACTCTGTGCCGCTATTGGTATTTAATGTTGTACCGAGGTGCCGCCTGCAGTTGCCTCGAAGCCCCACAATGGCCCTACACCTGGACAGACACTAGCGTATATGGTAGCCCGTATTCCCTCTGTACAACTGTGAAATTCCTGTAACTCAGACAGTCCTGCACACAACTGTGTATCAGGTAGGGAAGATTTCATAGCCTACAGAGTACTAGCAACTACATCCAAGTAGATTATTATTGTTATCTATAACATTTTAGATTTCATAGACCATTTTCACATACTTTACTGTACCTAGTTTTATCATGATGCTGACAAAATATAGCTGGGCAAAGTGTAGCCGTTGAAATAAAGATTTCTGGTTGTTATCTGGCTGAGTGATCCAGATTTTGCAGGAATCGTAAACTGACTTTACACTGATACATTAGTTTTCTTCTAGAGAACTCAGTACTTTTTTTCTTTTTTGAGAGGTTTTCACTATAGGGCACGTGCGCTCGCCAAACAGACAGAGAGAGACATAGAGACAGAAAGCGAGAAATCACCCCCCCAGGGGGGATGGTCACGCCGCAATCCTTTCTCCTCCATTCTCCTCTCGGGATCTTGGGCACGTACACACACGCGCCCGGCGTGAGTTCTAAGCCAGCGGGTCCAGCATGCGAACCGCAGTCGACTACGTGGAAGTCTAGCGACATAGCCATTATGCCAACTGCTGGTTCCTGTCTTCTAGAGAACTCAGTACATTTTCAAACGTATTATCTCTTTTTATCTTTCCCTGCATTCCTTCTAGGTAGGGAGACACTGCTATGTAGCACTTGATTTTAAAAATGGGAAAGTCGGGGCCAGCAGGTAGCATGGTGGTTAGGGTGCCGGACTAGCACATGACTGTGGTTAGAGTCCTAGACCTAGATGCTTGCTTTCTCACTTCCCCTCTTTCTAACTCTCTCTGGTAAAAATAAATAAATAAGGGACCAGCAGTTAGCGTAATGGCTATGTCACTGGACTCCCACATAGTTGACCGTGGTTTGTGTCCCAGACCTGGTGGCTTAAAACCCACGCCGGGTGCGTGTGCGTGCATGCCCAAGATCCCGATAGGAGAATGGAGGAGAAGGGATTGCAGCGTGACCATCCCCCCTGGGGGGGGTGATTTCTTGCTTTCTGTCTCTCTGTCTCTCTCTGTCTGTCTGGTGAGCACACGTGCCCTATAGCAAACAAACAAACAAACAAAAACCTCTAATAAAAACAAATAAATAAATAAATAAAAATGAAAAACAAAGTAAATAAGTCTTTTTTAAAAATAGGGAAAACAAGGCTTAAAAGGAGGCTTTCACATTCATAGGGGCTTATGTGGTGGTTCAGAGGCAGAGCCAGGGCTACAGTGGCATCTTCTGTTAAAGAATGACAGCGGCGTCAGATTGGTGCAGTGTTTCTGAGTCGTCTCAGACGTCTGCGGTGTGCTGATCTGCCTCCCCTCCTCAGCCCTTTGCTCATGCCACCCTTACAGAGTACGCGGGCTGGAGATCATGGGCAGGGACTGTGGTGAGGCCGCCGCCCAATGGATAACCAGCTTCCTGAACACGCAGCCCTACCGCCTGGTACACTTCGAGCCTCACATGCCCCCGAGAAATTCTCACCAAATAATGGAAGTGTTCGGGCCCACGGACCAGGTGAGAGGCACAGCTTCTTCCACAGGAGAATGGCAGTCAGCCCAGCCCACCAGGTGAGGGGGCATCTCTGAGGAGCCCAGTTCCATCATTTTCCAAGGCAGCACCCAGGAAGTTCGGATCATAAGCAGTAGGCGAAAATCAAGCCTTTTCCTTGGAAGCATTACTTGTATTTCTCAGGTTAGGGCAGGCTTGCATTTTGCTGGTGGGCCTCTGCTTTCCTTCTTATACAAGCTCTGGAGCCAACGGGTTTCAAATCTATTCTGTGTTACTTTGATTTTCACTCCTACACTTGCACACAGTCTGAACTTTTTAGTTTGTTTGTAATTATGAGTCAGATTACAGTTGTGCAAGTTGGTGTGGGTATGGAAATCCACAGACTTAAAATGATCAGAGTGGTCCTTAAAGGAATATGACTGGGGGGCCTGCGGGTGGCATGGTGGTTAAGGCGCTGGACACTTCCAATGACTGACCATGGTTCAAGTCCTGGACCTGGTGGCTTGCTTCCTCACTCTCTCTTTGTCTCTCTCTGGTCAAATTAAAATAAATAAAACTAAATAAGTAATTCTTTTTTTTTTTAAAAAAAAGGAATATGACTGTAGGGATTCATCATGAGAATAGAGTTGGTGGCACACCACTTTTACCATTAATAATAATAATAATAATAATAAAAACTGTGGTCAACAAAAGTACCTAACATTCATTTGTAGGTTGCCTAAAAAATAAGTATTTGGGACCAGCAGATGGCATAATGGTTATGTTGCTGGACTCCCACTTAGTTGACCATGGGCTGAGTCCTGGACCCAGCAGCTTCAAACTCACGCTAGGCTTGTGTGCATGCATGCCCAAAGTCTTGAGAGGAGAATGGAGAAGAAGGGATTGCAGTGTGGCCATACCTCCTGGGGGTTAATTTCTTGCTTTCTGTCTCTCTTTGTCTCTCCAGTGAGCACACATGCACTATAGCAAAACTCTCTCTAAAAAAAACAAAAACAAAAACAAGCAAATAAACAAAATGTATTCATGGAATTAGTGAACATTATAATCAAACATAATGAGGTCATCAAACCAAACCATTTTATTCAATATTTGAGAAATTGGAGGTTTAGAAGGTGAAGCGATGGCCCCAAGGGAATGAACCCAGTGTAGGTCTCGGATTCCAACACTGAGTTCTCCTCACTCCACCCTGCAGGTCCTGCTATCTGCTAGGTTAGTTAAGGCTCAGAATTGCTAACTTTTCTATAAAATGAACTAGAGAAATAGAAAGATCATGTGTATGCACGTGTGTGCATGTGTGTGTGTGGGTGTGTAGTGGGGTGTGGGTTCCACGAACTAGACACACGACTTCTGAGAGGCTTGTGTGCCTCGTACTATAACACTTTCTCTTTCCTTCTCAGGTTGCTTATGCAGACACCAGCCCATTCTTGGTTCTTTCTGAGGCATCGTTGGCGGATCTCAACTCCAGGCTGGAGAAGAAAGTTAAAGCAAATAACTTCCGGCCCAATATTTTAATTTCAGGATGTGGTGTCTATGCAGAGGTAAGGCTATGCCTTCTTTGCTTCTTTTCTTGGCGATAACATTTTTTAAAAGTATGAATATGTCTTTAATATGGATTAGATGATCCTGGAGTCCATTATTAATTGACTCTGCACTACACACCACAATTCAGTGTTTCGCTGTAACGAGCACCCGGTAAGTGCAGACTTCTGTGTGGAGGATACAAACACGGATGAGGCAGCGATGCTGTCATCCAGGAGGGAGTTCAGAGTCTGAGGCCTCTCGGGTCTCCACACTGTGATCCCTCCCCAACTCCAGCCAGCCCCAGACCATGGCACTCACACACCTGATGTGTTCAGGGAGGTCTCTGGGTGCAAACCCCAAACCGTCCTATGTTGGTCACCCTCAAAGGGCACTGCATTAGCTGCTGCGCCACCCTCCAGCCCCTTGAACTAGATTCACTTAGCACAGAACACATGATCGGCGTGAGCCACAGGGCGAAGAGAATCAGTGTTTGGTTGCCTTTGGCCATCTCGCTGATACTCATCTTGTACCGGGTGTGCCAGGAAAGCCATGTCTCCTGAGCTTCGCCTTCTCAGGAAAAGAGAAATGAGAGGGGAGGAGTTTTCTCTCACGCTTGGTTTGTGCTTTATATCGTTTCCTTGATTCCTCACAGCAGCCCAGCGAAGTATGAGTTATTCCCACTTCACAGGTGAGAAGGGAGAGACTGGGGAGGTGAGATGCTTTGTCCAAGGCTAGACCGAGAAGGGTCGGAGTTTGCTTTAGAACCCAGAGCGTACCACAAGGTCAGAGGGACCCCGAAAATTCTAGGGATCATGTATGAGTCTGGACACCTGGATTCTAATCCACCTGCTCCTATAAGGGGCTGTTCAGCCCAGGGCAGGTCACTGAACTTCTTGAGTCCTCTGCTTCTTGAAGACAGAAAATGTGGCTAATTTCTTGTGAAAATCCAGACCAACAACGATTTGTGGAAAAGCCCTACAACATGAAGTACCACAGCGAGGGGGGAATCATTTCATTCCTGTCAATGGTGTGGAGGGGCTCGACTCACATCATAGTGAAGACATGTCCTTCATGTGGGACGTAGATATAGAAGGGCAGATGTCAGATGAGTCGAACTTCAGATCTAGATCTCTTTGGATTGAACTGTATTCTAGACAAGGTCCTCTCCCTCCTCTCTCCCTCTAGGTGCTTCCTAATTGGGCACAGTCTGTATTTTAAGTGGGTGTTATAATCCAGTGTTGTGGCTGAGCTGGCCTTGTTTCTAATAATTCACTCATCACATAGTGGGTGGAGCCTCTGTGTTCCTACATGTGAATAGACATGGACTGGAATACAAGGACTGAAGAAGCACCGTTGCTTCCCCTTAGGGGCACAAAGTCCAGGATGACCAGACAGTGGACAAACAGTGACAGCCCAGGGAGATGAGGCCAGGAGGGTGCTGAGCATTCCTTCACAGGAAAACTCATTTCTCTCTGTACTTTTTAAATATGTTTTTATGACCACAGTGCCCCCTGGTGGATAGATGCTTACAGGACCGCTGTGGCTGCTTTAATCTGCTGGGTGCAGATTTCTGGACAGTTGAGAAATCGCAGTGAAGAGACTCATTTTATGATTTATAAATGAAACGAAATAACCCTGTGAAACATATATTAATAATAGGACATGGGCCAGCCCATAGCGCAGTCGTTAAGGTTGCTAGGTCCCACACGACTAACTGCGCGGTCGGAGTCCTGGATGGGTGGAAAATATTGAAAAGCACACCTGGAGCATGTGTGTGCATGTGTGCCCAAAATCCCCAAAGGAGGGAGAGACTAAGAGAAGAGGTTACTGCATGGCCCTTCCCAGGCTTTCTTGCCTTTTCTCTCTCTCTCTCAGTCTTTCTTTCTAATGAGCACATGTGCCCTCTGGCCAAAAAGTAAAAATAGTACACACTAGCAGAATTAACAAGCACAACTTGGAACTCCTCTCTTGGCTCATGACCAACAAAAGGCAAAGGGGAGGGCAGGTTCGTCTCAGCCGGCAGGCCTTTGTTTCCAGCCCTCAGGTGACCTGCAGTTCTCCCTGAGGGTGACCACGAACCATGGCTTTGTCTCCTCTGTGCCCTCTCTTCTAGCTACTGGCCCCTCTGTCTGGAGTTCCTCCTCCTTCTTTGGTGTCTTTCAAAATCTCTGCCACTTCCCATTCAGTTCCCACTGTACAGTTCCATAAACCGTCCCCGCTTAGGCCAACCTGGAGATTTATTCCTCTAAACTCCTGGAATGATTAATGATTATCATCTACACACACACACACACACACACACACACACACACACACACACACAGGAGAATTTTAAACTTTTTGTATATGCATGCCGTTTCTCCCCTACTGGATTTGAGAGGTTCAGGCCACTGATTTGGTTTGTTCTAGAAAGCAGGCACAGTGGGAGGGGACACCTCTGTGGACTGCTGTTTAAGTGCCCCGAGAAAGAGCAAAAAGGAATAAGGCTGGTTGTGGCCTGGTTGATAAGGAAGCCGGATCCACATGGCCAACTGTGCCGTTTGAATCCTGGCCCTAAAGGCTTGTAAAACATGCTGGGTGTGTGAATCCTGACAGGATGGAGCAATGGAGGAGAAAGGGTTGTGGTGTGACCACACCCCTTTGGGGAGTGCTTTCTCTCCCTCACTCTCACTCTGTCTCTCTCCAGTGAGCACATGTGCCCGCTGACAATTTAAGAACAAAAGGAAAAGACTGCTATTGGTTTTGCTCTTGATTTATTCATGTCTGGCTAAGAGAGCGAGAAGATACACATACACAATGGTTTAAAGATCTCGAGCCAGGAGCCGCGGAGCTGTGGAGCTGCGGGTCTTGGTGAGACGTGGCCCTGTTCATCTTAGACCCTTCCAGTGGTCTTTGGAAGTGGATCACTCGGCCAAGCGGCAGGAAGAACAAAGGAATCAGAAAAGAGATGCTGGCTCCTTGCTGCACTGCTCTGAGCGGCTTCTACTTCCATTCGTTTGGTCCCAGAGAAACTGAATTTATAATCGTCACCAGGTTTAGCTGAAACGTTTTAGTGCAACAAGTTTGATTAGAAGAGAAGCAAGTCACAAGTCACAAAGAAAGAAAGATGAGTAAGAGCAAAGACGATGCACCTTGTGAACTGGAGAGCCAGTTTATGTCAACCTGAAGGACAGAATGGCAATTGAGTTACTCCCTGATGGGTGTCATGGAATCGTCAGAGTTGAGTGGGTCCCTTTGGCCTCAAAGTTGGTAGATCTGCCTTGTGTTATGGAAAGCTTAAAGACCATTGATGAGAAAACCTCTTAGAAGACAGCTGCTCTCTGTCAGATGTGTGAGGCCACAATTGTCGGTGATCTCTGTCCTCCTGTAGAGGAGCTGGCTGTTTCTGCTGACCCCAAAGCAAGCAAGAAGAAGGACAAGGACAAAGAGAAAAAGTTTATCTGGAACCATGGAATGTACTCTGCCTCTAAAAAATGTCAGAAAGAGAAGGTTCTGGAAGACAACCAAAAAAAAGTAAATTGAATTTCCAGATGTGGAAAAAGAAGTGAAATGGATGGTAGGTACAGATGTGGAGGCAGTACTCATTGGGAAATCATTGCTGACGATGAAACAAAAGAAACAGAAAATGGAGGCCTTGATATCTGTTCTCCTCTAATTCTGATCACAGGCAGGGCCATGACTCCCTACAACATGACGAGCTTCGAGAGATACTCGATGACCTCAGTAGCAGCAGGGAAGACGAAGATGAGACACAGCATCCAGATGAAGAAGAGATAAACATCCTTGACACTGGGGCCGATCTGGAGAGACAGCTAGAGGGGAAGCTAAAGGAATCAATGAACGGCACCAAGAAAATGGAAGAAACAGCCAGCTGGTTATGGGAATTCAGAAACAGACCGACAACATGAAAGGCCAACTCCAAGAGACCCAACATTGGGCAAAACAACAGGAGGATCTCATCATGAAAGGGGAAACCTGGCTCTTAAGAATAGACTCCAGGCTGTGTTAGCAGAACTCAAACCAAAGGAAGACCAAGAACAGGAGCAGCTCAGCTCTTTGCAAGAAGAGCTAGAAGCACTCCTAGAGAAGTAAGACCTTCGATACTTGAATATTTCAGTCCTCAGAGTGGTCAGCAAACCTTGGCTTCATCAGTTGGACTGGATGTTAAGACCCTCCAGTAGGGACCAGCAGTTGGTGTAATGGCTATGTTGCTGGACTCTCATGTAGTCAACTGCAGTTCGAGTCTCGGACCCAGTGGCTTAAACTCATGCCGGACGAGTGTGCATGCGTGTCCAAGATCCTGAGAAGAGAATGGAGGGCAAAGGATTGCAGTGTGGCCATCCCCCCTGGAGGGGTGGGGTTATTTCTCACTTTCTGTCTCTGTCGGCGAACGCAAAGCCGCCCAAAGCAAAAACCTCTAAAAAAAAAAAAAAAAAAAGGGCCTGTTCACTTTAATGCTGAAAGTTCTGTTGAATTATCTTACTTGTTTTTCAGAACACTTTGCTAGGTATTCATCCTAAGAGAAACAAGGATTGTATAGCCAGCAAATGATTGTAAGAAAGTTGTAGGATTAGTGGAATGAACAGTTCAACCTTAATAATTAGAGCATCACTTTGCTATTTTTCTCCACTTGCCAGAAGCTTCTGTGCTGCTCTGGGTTGTCATCTGAGATGAACAAGAACTTAGTCTAAAAGTACTGAGGTTGGTTAGCATATGTTTTTCCATGTAGTAGTGTTTTTCCACCTGTCCAAAGAATTTCCTACATGTAGAGATGAAAATAATTTCATAAAGTTGTTTCTAATACAGTAAATAAAAGCAATTAATTTTCAAAAAAATAAAAAAAAGATCTTACACCACATAACTTTATGGGTGTACTAAGGAATCTGATACAGGGGTCTTCAAAAGGTTTGTGGCAAGTGTGTGTTATGAAAAAACTATACATTAATTTCAGTCTTTTTTTGTACCCATATGAACTCATACATTTATTTTTCTTTGCTAGAGGGTGCTTGCATTCACCGGAGAGACAGAGAGGCAGGGAGAGAGAAAGGGAAAGTGAGAAAGCATCCCCCATGGTGAATGGTCATGTTGCAATGCCTTCTCCTCCCTTCCTCTATCATGTTGGAATTTGGGACACACATGCACATGCACCTGGCATGTTTTTCAAGCTACCAGGACTGGAGTTCAAACCATAAAGTCAGCCATGTGGGATCCAGCCACCTTAACCACCACGCCACACTTTAATTTCATTTTGTCCATGAAATTTTAGAAGTTCTTCCACAGGGAACCAGCAGTTAGCGTAATGGCTATGTCGCTGGACTCCCACGTAGTCGACTGCGGTTCGCATCCCGGACCCGGTGGCTTAAAACTCACGCTGGGCGCGTGTGCGTGCGTGCCCAAGATCCCGAGAGGAGAATGGAGGAGAAGGAATTGTGGCGTGACCATCCCCCCTGGGGGTGATTTCTCCCTTTCTGTCTCTCTGTCTCTGTCTGTCGGGCAAGCGCACGCGAAAACCTCTCCAAAAAAAAAAAAAAAAAGTTCTTCCACAAAACCTAAAGTAATGAGTAATTCCCCCTCTTTATAGTCCCTCTTCCTTTGCCTACCCTCTTACGCACCCATAGGAGTCAAGTGAGTTCAGTCAGGGAGGCTTTCTGAAGGAGGTGTTTCCATGACCGTTTTAACAAGTGAGGGCAGAGAGAACATTTCATTTCAGGTGAACGCACTGGCATATCGAAGGCAGAGGGCGAGAGCACACAAAAGTCTGGGATAGGGAACCAGCAGTTAGCGTAATGGCTATGTCGCTGGACTCCCACGTAGTCGACCGCGGTTCGTGTCCCGGACCCGGTGGCTTAAAACTCACGCTGGGCGCGTGTGCGTGCGTGCCCAAGATCCTGAGAGGGGAATGGAGGAGAAGGGATTGCGGCGTGACCATCCCCCTTGGGGGGTGATTTCTCGCTTTCTGTCTCTATGTCTCTCTCTCTCTGTCTGTCTGGCGAGCGCACGTGCCCTACAGTGAAAATCTCTCAAAAAAAAAAAAAAAACAACAAAAAAGTCTGGGATAAAAGTCTGCCATCTTTGATGTACATGACATCGTCAGGTGTTGACTCATGGGAAATCCCTACTCAAGTGTCAGGGCAAAGGCCCAGAGTGCCCACAGGGGTTCTGCTTTGTCCCCTAGGATTCTTGGGATGAGATTCTTATTGGTGACGTGGAACTGAAGAGGGTGGTGGCTTGTTCCAGGTAAGGTTCTTTCCTGTCCCTGCAGGGGGAGGCTAGAAGGGGGGATGGAGTCACTCTGCTTTGTCCCCAAGTGATGCTCAGCATGTGTGTTCTAAACAGGTGCATTCTAACCACGGTGGACCCCGACACCGGGATCATGAGCAGGAAGGAGCCGCTGGAAACGCTGAAGAGGTAGGATGGGGTCTCACCCTTGGGCGTAGGTGCTGGGGATGGAGCGATGCTTATTGCTTAACACTGAGGAGGCAGTAAAATTACCACTCGGTCTTGGAGCTAAGGGGAGTCCTAATGACTAGGGCATTTGGGAAATGTTTCTGGATGCTTTGGTCACCAGAATGTTTGCTTGCACAAATGATTTTATTTTCATTTATAGAATTCATGATTCAAACACTTTCTTTCTTCTTCCTCTTTTTTTTTTTTTGAGAGCTTTTGCTGTAGGGTGCATGTGCTCACCAGAGATACAGAGAGGAAGTGAGAAATCCCCCCCCCAGCAGGGATGGCCACACCACAATCCCTTCTCCTCCATTCTCTTCTTGCAATTTTGGGCATGCATGCACATGCACCTGGCATGTTTCAAGCTGCCACGTCTAGGACTTGAACCATGGTTGGACATGTGTGAATCCAGTGCCTTAACTACTACACCACCTGCTGGTACCCATGATTCAAATCAACTATTTTTTTTTAAAAAATTGCTTTGATGTTTTGGCAAATCTTACAATAGACTGAGTGTGAGATGATACAAAAAAGAATTTGGTGTTAGAATGGTATTGCGGCTTGATAAGAAATGCCAACATATTATAGAGAAGCTTGTTGAATTGTCTATGAGGAGTGAAGTGACATGACTTCTAGTATCAGCTACATGTTATTTTAATGCATGAATACATGAGAAAATGTGTCAAAAATCTCAATAAATAGAATCTGGGTGATAATTATGGGGGAGGGATTCATGCACTATTCTTCCTGCCTTTTTTCTTTCTTTCTTTTTTTTTTTTTTGAGAGAGTTTTGCTATAGGGCATGCATGGTCCCTGGAGAGATACAGACAGAGAGACAGAAAGTGAGAAATCACCTCTCAGAGGGAATGGCCGTGCCACAACCCCTTCTCCGTTCTCCTCTTGGGATTTTGGGCATGCATGCACACACACGCCCTGATGTGAATTTCAAGCTTCCAGATCTGGGACTTGAACTGTGGAGGACCATGTGGGAGTCCAGTGATATAACCATTACAACCTCTGCTTATTTTATTTTACTTTTTAAAAATGTAAAATTGCATGAGTAGATTAAAGGCTAAAAGGATCTAAATAAAATTTTTAATGGAGTTCCCTTCTGATAACAGAATTATAGAAAAAATTATTCTTACATGTAGTTGCTAAACTTTCTAGAAATAACTGCCATTGCATTTGCTAAAATAACAGTAAGGAGACCAGCAGTTAGCGTAATGGCTATGTCACAGGGCTCCCATGTAGTCGATCATGGTTAGAGTCCCAGACCCAGTGGCTTTAAACTCATGCCGGGTGCGTGTGCGTGTGTGCCCAAGATCCTGAGAGAAGAATGGTGGAGAAGGGAATGCAGCATGGCCATCCCCTCAGGATTGATTTCTCATTTTCTATCTCTCTGTCACTCTCTGTGTTTTTGGCCAGCACACACGCCCTATAGCAAAAAAAAAAAAAAAAAAATCCTCTCCAAATAAATAAATAAATAAATAAATAACAGTAACAATAACAATTCAGAATCTACCCATTTTAGTGCTTTTATGGCCAAATCTGGGACCCAGGAAGTTACTGAGACTCTAAAATGAACCAGTGATGATTGTCTTAACTGGTCCCTTTGGCTTTGAGTGCAGGTCCCAGGTAGGGCACCAGGTCTCATCCCTGCATCCCTTTAGACCCTTGGTATTGGTCCTGACCTGGTCTGTAGGTGTCACTGGTAGAGGAGAGGGTGGGAGAAGGCCGGTCTACTTTAAGCAAAACCCTGGAGGATTTGGGAGAAGGCATGCAGTTGAGTTGGGGGCCATCTCGCTTCAAGATCATCAAGACTAAGCACATTAGGAGAGGTTACATTTGGGGTTATGTGTGTCTCCCCTTTTTTCCACCTCTCACTAAGCGCTTGGCTTGGCTTTTCTTTTCTCTTTCTTTCTTTCTTTCTTTCTTTCTTTCTTTCTTTCTTTCTTTCTTTCTTTCTTTCTTTCTTTCCTTTTCTCTGTAAGCAGGAATCACTCCCTGAAATTCTACTGTCCTCGAAGCTGTAATCTAGCGCCCTCTGTTGGTGAATGGCAGCTGTGGGCTGGGATGCCTTTGTTCCAGCCAGCATGTTACCCCCCAGTACCAGGCTCTGGGCAGCCCTCTCTGGCTAGCACCTCTGCTCTGTGGAGATATGTCCCTGTGTGAGGGCCACTGGCAGAGAGAGCTATCAGAAATGAAGTGTAACAAAGCGTGTTAAGGGAGTTAAAAAGAAAGGGGGTTGGTGGGATTAGAGGAGTTCTTGAGATGAACAGAAAACAGCTACTTTTTACTTGGGTCCTCTAGCCATTGGGTGAGTTTTCAGGAGCATTCAAAGAGGTAGCTCCAGGCCAACCAAAGGCAAATTCCATCATTTCCAGGGATGTTAATTACTTCTTAACCCTCAAAACGACATCCATTCACGCGCCAATAAAAAACCAGTGCTATGTGTTCTATGGTTTGAATGTGTCCCCTAGAAATTCGTTTGTTAAAATTTGATGAGCCAGGGTGAAGGCGTTAAGGGGTGAGAACTTAGTCTAACTCTGGAATTAAGAGGCAGAGCCTTTGGGAGGTGATCAAGACTGGGTAAGGATATCAGGGTGGTGCCCCCACCTGAATACTAGTGGGTCTAAGAAAGAGGTCAGAGAGAGAGACATGGACATAGAACAGAACATCTGACATGGGCACGTTGGCGCATTTCACACCATGCCAATTTTACCTCCAACTCGCCCCAAGAAAAACCAATAAAGTTTTACTCTAGGTAATGAAGTGCAAGCCGAACTGTTCAGGGGTGAAGTGTACTATGGCTGCGATTTATTTGGAAATGACGAAGAAGATGACGGTGGGTCTATAGAGGGATGAATATGTACTGAAGGCACTACAGTAAACTATGCAGTGTAGAGTTCAATTAGTTAGTTTGTGAATGGCGTTGGGTGTAAGCTCCTCTCACTTGTTGCTGGGCGATGTTTTGTGTAAACACGGGCGAAGTACCACTGTGTGACAGAACACTCATGAGAGGACAGGGATTTGAGGGGCTCACTGTCAGACCTAGCCCGGATGCAGCCTACCTGTTTTATGGGGTCACTGAGGAGCTACAGGAGGAGACAGGCTGGGGAGCCAGTGGAGAGAGCCCAGGGTCAGGAGATCTAGTGGTACTGACAACAGCTGCTGTAATCAGTAGTGAAGTCCTCCTCGCTCAGCTCTGGGTGTTCCCCCTGTAGGGAGAGGGCAGATCCACCGGGGGGGCTTTGGGAACTGGCATCGCTCTCTTTAGGCATCTTGCTCTCTGTTCTCTCCTGACATGGCTGACACTGGACATCCTTCCCCCGTGGATTTAGAACACTTCTGTGCTTGCAGCAATGCCTCCTCAAAGCACTCAATGGATCTGGGCTGGTTCTCTGAAATTTCAGCACACACACACACACACACACACACACACACACACACACCCCTCGCCTGCCCCGGGAGCCTGTGTTTATAGAAGGAGGGTAATTGACCCCAAACACAGAGTGAGGGCAGGAAGGCGTGGGTCACAAGGAGCCAGCACAGCCCGCTGATCTTCTGCAGGCTTTACGCAGTCCGACAATTCCGCCCTAATTGCTTCTAATTCCCTGGGAGACAGTGCAGCCAGCCTAGGTGTCTTCTCCTATCTCTGCTGAGATTTAAATTGCCGTGGGTGTAGTAATTTATGTTCTTCTCGGGACAGGTGATCATAAATCGGGAAGAGAAAGGCCCAGCCGTGGCTGGTAAATCATGGGAAAGGAAGCAAACGGGGGTGTCCACGAAGCCCCTCCGCTCTGGGGCAGGTTGCTGGATCTGCACTGCTTTCTATCTCTGTGCGGTGGTGTGGCCTGAGGCTTGGTGTTGGTTCTGGAATGTGAGCCCTCGGCAGAGAGGCCTTGAGGCCTCTTGGTCCTACCTACTGCTGTTAGTTCCCCACAGGCAAAGGAGAAAAAGAAATATGTGCACAGGGCTAGGTGGCGTGGATGTTAAGGCGGCTAGATCCCACATGGCCAATTGAGCAGTTCAAGTCCCGGACCCAGCAGCTTAAAAGACACTCTGGGCATATGTGTGTGTGTGTGTGTGTGTGTGTGTGTGTGTGTATGTGCCCCAAATTCTGGGAGGCGATGTGGCCATCCCTCTGAAGGGTGATTTTTCTCAGTTTCCCTCTCTCTCTCTCTCTCTGTCTCTGGTGACTGCATGTGCCCTATAGCAAAGAAGAAAAAAGAAGTATGCTTGCATTGCTGACTCTCATGGGGTAGAAACACAGTGGATCCTTTGAAATACTCACGGGGAGAAGCCCAGTGAGGCCCTTCTGCTCACTGGAGAAGTGAAGATGGAAAAACTCTTTTCTTTCTTAAGAGAGAGTGAGGGACACACCAAGCCCCATGGTTAAAGAGTGGCCAGAGTCTGTGGCTGTTGCTCCCACAACATCTTGGTCCTGATAGAAAGCTTATAGCAGGGGCCAGCAGGTGGCATGGTGCTTAGGGTGCTGGTCTCCCACATGGTCGACCGCAGTTTGAGTCCCAGACCTGGCGGCTTTCTCTCTCTCTCTCTCTCTCTCTCTTTCTTCTCTTCCCTTCTCTTCTCTCAGGTCAAATTAAAATAAATAAAGTTAAATGAAACAATTCTTTAAAAAAATAAAAGAAAGCATATAGCACAGTTGCTGTATAGACACTCAAAAAAACTGCAGAATACATGAGCACTTTGACATTAGTGATTTCTGCCACTAGCCACTGGTGTTAGGCTGTGCTGTGTGGAGCTAAGGGCCGAAGGATATAGACGTGGGTGGCAGCTCCGTGGGAGGGGAGGAGACAGACCGGCCCCCAAATCTGGCTCTCTCACCTACTGTGTGGTGATGGCTGGTGCTTAGGTTCTTAAAGTTTCAGTTTCTTTATTTGTAAGAATTGGACTTATAATAGCTCTTCTGGTAGACTGGAATAGACAGTAAATATGAC